GTGGGATACCTCGGAAAATGGGGACAACAGCCCCAGCTTCCCCGTGGGGACTGGGAGCGCGGCGGGATCCCAGGAAAGGCCCCGCGGGTGCGAGGCTGGAAGAGGCTCAGGTCGATTTGCAGAACCCACCGAAACAGCGCCTGCACGAGCCCGCGCGGCCGCGAGCGCACACAATGCTCTGTCCCCAGCCAGGAGCTCTGTTCCGGTATTTCCATCTTCCCAGTGCATTTTCCTTCCCAATGGAAAACCCATTCCTGCCAGAGGTGTAAATGGGATTTCCTGCCTTTAATCACAACCAGAAACTCTGCTCCGATGGCAGAGAGGAGCCACGGACCCAGTCCCAGCCTCTGCCAGGAGCCCCGCGCGGACCCACCGCTGCGGCCGCACTGATGTTTCACCAAGTCGTGAGGTTTCCGCTCACCGCTGCAGGGAACAGCAGAAATTGTGTCACCGAGCGAGCGGAGAGTGGCTCAGCCGCACGGGTGACGGTCTGCAGCTGGGGTCAAAACGGATTTCAATATCAACCCCCCCCGAACATCTGCCCAGCTGTTCTCCGCGTTCGTGGGGGTTTAACCCAGTTCCTTAAGCCGTCTAGGTTCCAGATTTGTCCTTTCCTCCTCTGCTCCCCGCACCGCAGCGGCTGCGAAGGGGCCGACACGACCTCCCAGCTGGCTGCGGGGAGCCCAGAGCAGCCAGAGACACTCCAGGGCAGACGTGGTGAGAAAAAAATCATCTCTGTAGGAGCAGCAGGGTGGGGAAAGGGAGATTTTAATCTCCCTGAGTGACTCCCAGCCCAAGCGCTGACTTCATCGGGAGCCAAAGAGCAGCGAGTGCCAAGCTGCCAAAGCCCCAGGCTCCACCTGGAGCCCCGCAGCCCAGCTGGGCTCGGTCCCTTCAGCGCATTGTCACCAACAATCCGGCTCCTGAAAAGCAAACAAAGGCCCAGAGCCTCCCGACAATGCACAAAGCGGGGCTGCAGATGTTATCGGCTCAGCGGGGCTCAACTAAAGTAAAATCTTGTTTGTGTCAGTGAAAGTCAGCTGACGGCACAGACGTAAGGAAATCGAACCTCGTAAGGACATCAAACCTCGCTCCTTCCTCCTCCTCCTCCCTCCTCGGCCAGCTCAAAGCCAGCCAGCTGCTAACTCAACTCGCTCCGAGCTGTGCTGTAGGTATTTGTCCTGCCTTGATTTTGAAGTGGACGGTTGCTAGAGAGAAACAAAGGCAGCTTCCTGCTCCCTGCACAGAGCCGGAGCCGTGGCTGCCAACTGTGGTAACAAAACCAAACCAAGAGCGAGAACACAACGAGGAGCAGCTCATCCTCCCTCCTTGGCTGCCAGCTCTGCTCTGGGACCCAGCGCCGCAGCTCCTCCTGACTCACCCCAGCGCTGAGCAGCTGCTAACGCAGCTCCCACACGGTCCAAACCTGCTCCGACGTGATGCAAACCCACTCCCGGACGCACCCACCCAACCCCGCTCCCACCAGAGCTGCGCAGATGCAGCCGCAGCAACGCCCAGTTCCTGGGTCCCGCATCGGGGGGGTGGTCCCTGAGCTGGGGGGTTCTCTGCGAAAATTTCCAGGCTGGCTCTCGAAAAGCTGAGGCTGCTGCAGGAGGTCCAAG